AAAAGTACCATATGGACAAGTAAAAGTCGTCTTCTCTTGGTCATCCGGGTTTATAGGTATTTGGAAAAAACCCGAATAACCGTCAAGAAAGCAATAATACTTGTTCCTAGTTAGTCTTTCGAGCATTTGATCAATAAAAGGGAGGGGAAAATGGTCCTTTTTGGTAGATGCGTTTAGACGTCTATAGTCTATGCACATCCGCCAGCCGGTCACCGTTCTAGTTGAGATGAGCTCACCATTCTCATTCTCAAATACAGTCATTCCCCCCTTCTTAGGGACAACATGCACAAGGGAAACCCATCTAGAGCTTGAAATGGGGAAGATGATACCTGCATCAAGAAGTTTGGTGATCTCTTTCTTCACCACCTCCCCCATTTGAGGATTGAGTTTCCTCTGCCTCTCAATAGAAGGCCTCGCACCATCCTCGAGAGTTATGTGATGCATACATATAGCGGGGCTAATACCCTTGAGGTTATCAATGGTATAACCTATGACACTTTGATGCTCTCTCAATACATCACACAACTTCCGAGTTTGATCCGCATCTAAAGAAGAATTCACAATGACAGGATAAGTTGAATCAGGGCCAAGAAATTCGTACCTTAGATGTAATGGTAGAGGTTTCAATTCTATTTTAGGGGCCTCGTTTACCTCTTTTGTGGTGGCCTCAGCAAGTGCATACATGGGTGTAATTTCCTTGAAACCGTTATCACCATCATCTTCCTCTAGCATTTGCTCCTCTATGTACCTGCTCTCATCGGTATCACTTGGCTCAAGATCATGGTTAGTAGAAAGCAATAGTGTATGCATACTAGAGACAATCAAATCAATAGTGTCAATCATCATGCAGTTTTCGGAAGTAGACAAAGGATATTGCATGCTTTTGTTCAGATCAAATTCAAGGACCTCCTCTCCTACCTTTAAAGAAATCTTGGCACTCTTCACATCAATGAGAGCACCAGAGGTAGCTAGGAAAGGTCGCCCAAGAATAATAGGTATATGATTATCTTCATCCATTTCCAAAACTACAAAATCCACAGGTATCACAAATTTCCCAACTCGTAGGGGAACATCTTCTACCTTACCCTTAGGAAATTTGATCGAACGATCAGCTAACTGTAGGGTAATGTTGGTAGGAAGAAGTTCTCCTACCCCTAATCTTTGATATACAGAATATGGCATAAGACTAACACTAGCCCCAAGATCACATAATGCATTATCAATTTTCATTTTATTAATAGCACAAGGGATTGAGAAATTACCTGGGTCTCCCAATTTGGGAGGCATCTTGTTCATGATGATTGCACTACAATTCGCGGTGAGGTTAACAGTTTCCACCCCATCACAATTCCTCCTGCCACTCAAAATATCTTTCAAAAACCTAGCATAGTTAGGCATTTGTTTTATAGCGTCGGTGAATGGTATGGAAAGGTGAATTTGCTTCAAAGTATCTAAAAACTTACCGAATTGAACATCCAACTTATGTCTCACAAACTTATGGGGGTAAGGAAGTTTTTGCAATAGATTGGGCTCTTTGACTTGTGTTACTTCCTTTTCATTTAAGACCTCTACAGTTTTATCATTCTCTCCGGTCCTCTCCTCCTCACTCTCTATAACAGTATCAGTGGTAGGTGTAGTCACAGATTGACTCCTAGGGGGTACTACTTCATCGCTCCCCTCAATGTCTTTCCACTCCTAGTGGTGATAGCATTTACAGAGTTTTTAGGGTCAATACCTTGAGGTGGGAGTTTTGACACTCCAACCCCATCCTTTATAGCACTAGCCAACTGAGAAATCTGGGTTTCAAGTATTTTATTATGTGTCATCACTTCATTAAACTTTTTGTCACTGGTGGCCATGAAAGTGTTGAACATTTTGGTCTGTGCTTCCATCATCTCCTCCAAACTAGTCCTTTGCGATGGTCCTTGAGCATTGTAGTTGTCATTAGAGGCTCGGGAGCCACGCGCATTAGACTGTTGGGGATTTTGATTTTGGAAGTTGTTCCTGTTACCATTGTTATTCCAATTTCCCCTGTTATTGGCATTCATGCTCTGATTGTATTGCCCTTGATTACCTGCATTTTGTTGGTAATTATTCTGATTACCAAAATTACCATGTTGATTATAAGACCCTTGGGGATTTTGGTCCCTTTGGTTCCTGTTTCCCCACTGGTTTTGCTGTTGGTAGTCAGAATTATTACCATGTTGATTATAATTGTTCCCTCTTTGATTAGGTGGTAAATATCTGTTATTGTCATTCCTAGGTCTATTATCATAAGACAAGGCATTGACTTGTTCATTATCACACTCATTACCATCATTATAGTTGGATTGAAATTGGGAATCTACGTTACAGGCAGAGGTATCATGGTCATAAGACCCACAGTTTTCACAGAATATACATCCAGCAGGCATATTATTAGAGTTAGAGTGCATACCTGCTCCCTTAGAATAGGATGGAAGATTTTGATGCGGTGGATCGTTGAGCTTCTCTTTGATAATTGACATTTCCTTACCTAGATTTACAATTTGCGATGTCAAATTCCCGATTGCATTAAGATGGTCTACCGAATAGACCGCTCCTCCACTCTTGCTCATGGCCTCTCGATCTCCATCTTGCCAATCCATGTGGTGTCGTACCACATCTTCTATGATATCAATGACTTCTTCTTCGGTTTTGTTCATAATGGGGCCACCTGCTCCCGCATCCAAACTGGTCTTCCCTTGAGGACTCAATCCTCCATAGAAAATCTGTAAAACTTGATATGTTGGGATTCCGTGGTGTGGGCACTCTCTTTGATACTCCTTGTACCTTTCCCAGGCTTCGTAGATTGACTCCCCACTCCTTTGCCGAAATCCCTGGATCAAAGCTCTAGCATCGGCCGTCTTCTTTTGGGAATAAAATCTTCCCAAGAATGCTGTCGTGACATCATCCCAAGTGTGTAGAGAGTTCGACTTCACCTCCTTCTCTAACCATTCGAGAGCTCTCCCAATAAGTGAAAAGGGGAAAAGCTTCAATCTCACGAACTCTTGATTCACCCCATTAACCTTGATGGTATTGCAGTACTTCTCAAATTCGTTCAAATGAGCCAAAGGGCTCTCATGCTTGGCACCACTAAACTGCCTTCTCTCGATGAGGGTGATCATAGCCGGCCGGATCTCGAAATCATTAGCCTCAGTAGTGGGTGGAGCAATCCCACTTGAAGCTCTGTACGCCCCAGGAGTTCCCAACTCCTTAAGGGGTCGTGGTGCTGGCCGATTGGGTTGGCGCGGTATGTCTGCCATTGGAACCTGTTGTGTGTTGTGTTCCTTTCCTTGAGAGTTTGATGACGTCAATCGAGATTTACGATTGCTCTTCAAAGTTCTTTCGATTTCTGGATCGAAGGGTATTAATTCTCTCTGTTTAGACCTGCGCATACACACTAACCAAACCAATTAAATAGCAAGGCTACAAGTGTAGCCAAAAGGGAAAAATCTTTTTGTGATTTTTACAATGAACTAGACTCAAGAAATCAAAAAGCAATTAACAAACACCGTTCCCCAGCAACGGCGCCATTTTGACGAGGGTTAAATCGGTCGCTACAATATAACTCTCAATCAAACAATACTTATACGAACACCCTATAACCAAGTACAATGGCAAATAAAGGTTCGGTCCACGAGGAACGAGAGTAATTGCAAATCAATCTTAAACCTAAGCTAGTTCAAAATCAATGCAAAATGGTGTTCTAAAATACTACTAATAAGATGGAATAAATTAATAAACTAAGACACTAGGGAGAACGAGAATTCACCAAACCATCGGTAACTACGCAACAAGGAATCACAGAGACAAACGAGATATGCAAAGACTATATGTCTGATCAATATCATGTGATAGGAAGACAACGGGAAATACTAAGCTTGGATTTCTCATGCACTTAACATTACTCGATACATAATCAATCCACATTCAATAATGAAATACTCAATTCACAATCTCTTGTTCAAATCAAGGATATCATGCAATCAAATTCAAGATTCTAGGTTAGCTACTCCTATTATAATAAATTAACATGCAATCGCATATAATCAATTTAATCTCAATCCGTTTATCAAAATCAATCCTCAATTACATAGATTACCTAGGCCGGGTTTCATCCCGAAACCCTAGCTAGGAGACTACTCACACATATTCATAATCAAAGCAATAATGAATTCCAAAAGCATAATAGATATAAACATGAATTCTGATTAAGGAATAATAAAGCTTGATTAATAAACAAGAATGAATAATACCAATTGTATTGATGCGAATCAATGGAAAAGTTCAGAACTTTGATATCCGTCGTCAATGAATAATACAAAGAATTTTCGCAAATCTTGCTTCAAATCAATCCAAGAAAACTAAAATCTCTAGAAATATCTCTAAGAAAACTAATGAATCTCTAATACTAAGAACGTTCTCCAATAACTCTCTACAAAGGCTCTCAAAACTATCTCTCCAAAACTGTCTTTTAATCCTCTTAAAGTCGGGCCTTATATACGTCTTCTAATTCGGAGAAGTCAAGCGCGCAGTTAACCCTGGATCAGCACGGCCGTGCTGTATTTGGCACGGCCGTGCTAGCTTGTTAGTAAGTAAACCGGGTTTCTTCTTCAAATTGGCACGGCCGTGCTATATATGGCACGGCCGTGCAGCTTCCTGGCACGGCCGTGCTAAAAATGACACGGTCGTGCTGAATATGCTCTAGCACGGGGCTCATACTGAAGCTGACACGGGCACGGGCAACATCTGGCACGGCCGTACTAATGGCCTGCACGGTCGTGCGGGTGCGTGGAAACTGACACGGCCGTGCGATTGGCTTGCACGGCCGTGCTGCCTTGCCTGGGGTTGCTTGCTTATAGGCCAGCACGGGTGTGCCTATGGTAACACGGCCGTGCTGCCTGTGCTATGTAATCAATGCACGGCACTTGAACTTCCTTAACTCCTCGGACTCCGGTCAAGGCTAGCTCGGTTACGCATCAAGGGCTCGGGATCCGATTAAACTCGGTTGATATTACCTGAAAACACATCAAAAACAAACCGAAAACCCGTGAAGCACGTAATATGGGGAACGTAAGCATAACAAGGTAATAATTGGCCAAAGCGGCCCCAAATACATCCAAAATCATCCTAAAATATGCTCTAAAGCGCGCCCTAAAGTGCGCTTGTCAAATATTCTATAAGGGATATTAATCTTGCACGTCCAACGTACTAAGGACTCACAATATTCATACTTAACTTACAACTCAAGTACAATTTACAATTAATCTTTAGTAATTCAGTTCATTTTCCCAACTACCTAAACAAAGGCCCAATCACATAAATCCCAACAAACATTTCCATGTCATGGATATCAAATAATGTTCAGAGAGTACCTTCTGCGTACTTCTTGATTGGGTTTTAACGACAACCCCTTTCTCCTTCGCCACCTCTCCCTTTGTCTTCTCGACCTACACATGACATTACACATTTCATTTCTCCATCCAAGTATTACACAACAAATTAGCTTTTATCATTTCCATCTAACATGACATACCTTTAGCTTGTCCCTTTTTCCTGTCCTTTTCTCAATATGACCTCGCTTGTGCTTCCCTTTCTCAACCTTTTCCCGCAATAACTTGATCAGGAGTTCCTGGTAGCTCACTTTGTCCTGTTCTGATTCTTCCTCACTACCTACACCGTCGTCCTTCGCATCCTCATCTACCTCATAATCACCAGCTGTGGAATCAGCATCATCAGAACCAGATTCATCACCACTAGATTCATCATAACCACCATCATCAAAACCAGCTTCATCGGACTCCTTTAAATACTCTACCTCAAAAACTGGATCAGATTTCAGTTTCTTCTTCCCTTTACTAGCTACTTCTGTTTTTAGGCGCCTCCTCATTCACGGCTTTCGACCGCGCCTACACAAACACAAATATTTGCCACCAACAATCAACTACAACACACAACCATCACTAAGCAAACACACAATCTTTTAATTCCAACAAACAATAACTCACCAATCCTCATCCCTTGCTCTTCCTCGGCATTATTTCCTCCTGCCAAGTTCAAATGAACGCTCGATAAATGGGATTTCCCAACTACATAAAACCATTTCAACAAACCCTTAACTCTTCACATATAATTTCTCCACTATATTCTCATATACATACCACAACAGTCATAATTTATTAATGTAACAATATCACTTATTCATAATTCAATACGTCTACCACCACAAAAACTCACAATTAATCACTCATTTACATGGATTCAAATTAAATTAAATACTTTAATTCAACATTCCTACCACCACATGCACCCAAAACAATTTTGCTTGTTCATTACAATTAAGCAACAAAAGGTCGCAAATTTCAGTGGCTAACAAAGCATTACATAATCTAAATCATCATATCAACAAATTCATTCCAATTACGGGTTTCACATCCTCAAATTAATCCCAATTATAACAATGAACAACAAAGGAAACCCTACTTCGCTATTTTCAGTGGATAACCGTAAATCACATAAACTAAAACATCATAACAACAAATTCATTCCAATTAAGGGTTTTAGAACCACGCCCACTAACATTTTCCCCAACTAAACAAATCAACAACACAGGTAACCCTAAATCTTTAAATTCACTGAAAAAACCCTAAATTCCAAAAACTAAAACTTCATAACAACAAACAAGTTACAACTGCTTTTTAAATTTCTTAATAACCAACAAATGCGTCCATAGCAAAGTTGTTACACTCGGTTTCGAGACCATACCTTCAATCAAAGGAACCAACGACTGCCGGTACACAATTCACGCAACTGCTCATGATTACCACGCACCAAAATTCTTTTCTAGCTCCGGCAGCAACCACCGTTGTAGTCTCTTCTTTGTAACAGAGTACAATAACTACAGGGAGGAGCTGGAGGAGCGAACAAGAGAAAACGAGGAGAGAGAATGCTTTCCTGCTACTTAATGAAAAATATCCTTTTCATATTCAAAAAAACCAACCCCGTTACATTTTAAATTATAACGGGTATTTGGTGAGTCAGCCTCCACTTTTGCATTTCTTAAGCTTGGTAAATGACACTGCTACCCTCCTATTTGCTTCCTTCATCCATAGCGCCTATGCGCTAATATGTACTCGAGTGATTACTTGGTAAAGATTGCATTGGACTAAATGAAAAATAAGTACCACATAAACAGTGGATTTAGAAGAAATAGTTGTAAGATTCTCAGGGGATAAAAGGGTACAAAAATACACACATACATGATCAGATAGCATCTCAAATTACTGCGCTTCTCATAAAGTTATAGTACACTACTGACTACACTAGAATATTAAACTAACCTCTCCTACAGCTATTCTTTGGCTGCATTATATTGTCCCCACCTCTCCTCCCTTCTCCATATCACATTAATACGGAGTAAGACAAACTCTTTTATTTATTTATTTACATTATACAATTATTATATGGAGTACTTGTATTTCCTTCCTTTGTAAAGATAACATATCTCTGCGACACACAGCACTCTTGTTTGGTGTGTCACTCATATCGTGCGGCAAGCTGAAATACACACCAAAACCTTATAGGTAATTTTTAACCGACTAAGTAATACCGACAACATAATTTCTGACCGAATAAACCCATCACACAACCCTAACCGAGTAACTCCGGTCACACCGTGTAACCAACCACGTATGAAAATTTGTGATGAACGTACAAATTAACAACATAATAGCTTAAGCATTGATAACACAATGCCTCTTTTATTGGTAAGAAATTACGAATTCGTTTACCTCTTCTAATTACTAGTTCTTTAAAAAAGGCGTACTAATGAAAATATGGCTTTATTAAAAAAATAAAGGAAGAAATATTAATAATAAATTACTAAATTAGTAATAATAATAATAATAAAAATAAAAAAGGAAGCAACCCACTCACACACTTGATTCTCACTCTCCACCATACTTCCCATTCCTAAAACCTCAACCAACGGCCAAGATTCCCTCCTCATTTCTTGCTCTTATTATTATTTTCCCACTCCATACTCCTTTTATCCTCCCTCACTCCCACCCCTCCCTCCCTCCCTCCCTCCCTCTAGAGATCGACGACAACGACTAACACGATGTTGTTGGGTAAGAGAGCTCGTCGTCACCCTATGAAGAGAACCACCAGTATGACGGAGTTCTCTTACGACGATCTCTCCATCATCCATCCTCATCCTCCTCCACCATCCTCGTCATCCGATCAACCCCGTGACGGGGTTGTTGCACTAGATCATGCTTATAACACTCAACACCTTCATAAAGTTATGGGTTTTGTTTCTCCTAGAGGGATCCATAGGCGTAACTCTGCTGATTTTGCTCTTCAATCTTCCAGCTCTCCTACTAACAATACCTTCCTCAGAACTTGCTGCCTTTGTAGCCGACGCCTCGCTCCCGGCCGTAATATCTACATGTATAGGTATGTTGTGGAATCTATAAGTTCTTTTTACTACTATATTTCATTTCATTGATGATTGATGTTTTAGTGTCGATAAAATGGTACTGATGTAGACGAGATTTGATTTTATATTATGAGTGGTCAGTTTACGGCCCCTGGCTTTTAATTTATTTAAGCAATATACATGGTTGTGATTTAGATAATTGAGGAATTTACTTGTAATAAAAAGAAGTCTAAAAGGGTAAAGGACAGTGGATTCTTCTCATAATTTTTTTTATTTTTTATTTTTTATTCTTCTCATATTATTATTCCATTGGTTTTTGGCCAAACTATGCAATGTTTTCTATTGGTCCGCTATAGATTCCTTGTAATAAATATGAAAAAAAAAATTAATCAATTAAATTTGTTAGCCATTATTATTAAAAAAAAAAAGAATATTTATATTATACTTTTGAATTTGGATTTAGTACGCCAGATCAAAATTTATTCGCTACGATTTTCATGTGGTCGAGTTGTATTCTACACTTTCTGTATGAAAAAAAAAAGAAAAAAAAAATCAATTTTATTTATGAAAATATAAAGAATTTCTAATGAGTAACTATATATATATATATATATATATATATATATAAAAAAATATATATATATATATATATATATAATGTAAAAAAAAAATATTATAATTATGAAGATTGTTCAATGTATTATTGATTATAATATTAATGATGTACGATTGTAAATTTAATGCTTATAATTAGTCTTTAAAACCGTATATAACGAAGACTAAAAACTGTATATAACGAAACGAAACCGTAAATTAATTTGGGGAGTACTATGTATATTTGTGGCGGGTCTAAAAAGCAATTATTAGAATGATTTTTATTGAGTAGGCGTTGTTTTTATATGATGATGTGTCAAAATTATAGTCGTTTTCTGCGTAGCAATAATTTTGGACACTATGGGCCATGGTGGTACAACTGGGTTACGAGTTTGATTAGGAAAGAATCATCATAATTTCTTTCAACACTAGAACTTGGAATAATCATGTTATATCATTATTATTCTACTTAGCATGATGCCTAATTATTTTCATTTTTTTTTGTTAAATTACTTATGCAATTGATTGTGACTTTTTATTTAATTATTTATTTTCTCATAATAGAGCATACTCTCTTTGTTATCAAATAATTGTCCTGTATACTATTTTCAATTGGTTAATTTTTTAATGAGAATTATTTGCTCATTACCTAATCAACTCATTCAACTTAATTGACGGGGTCCTATCACTAGTTACCTCACTTTCATTCTCTATTTACCTAAATTTATGTGGCATAGGGTGTTCCACTAAAACTCAATCATTCTATTTTTAATTTACTTATTAATTTTACATTATCTACAAAAAAATATTTAACACCATTGTACCATTTACCTCTAAATGTGTGTCCCAACCTAATAAAACAATAATTTGGGGACAAATGGAACATTTCAAAATGTCTCAGTTAAAAAAAAAGCCTTATTTCCTTTGAAAATGGGATGTTAGGAGAGAATTGTAAGGTATTGCAATTTGGGAATAGTTGTATCAATATTAGTGGATAAAAAAGAAGATTAAATGAGGTTTTGTTGATTTAAATTGAGTACATAGTAAATAAGTAGTGGATGATTAACTCTTACCAATATATATGGCTTTTGCATAAGAACAAGAATTTTGAGAAATATAGATCTTTCATTAGAAATGCTTTCTCTATAAATAAATATATATAAATTATGAAATCTATATTTTATTTTTTGTTTGGAAAAAGAAAATTGTTCCTTTCCCCTTGCGTACAAGGCCCCTCCTTTCTATACAATCCATAACTGTCTCAATCCCAATCAAAAACTTTTTTGTCTTTATTTTTGTTTTCTTGAATAAGTATTTGTATATATAATAGGTTATATCACTATCTTGTCCGTTCTTAAATTGTACTCCGTAGGTCATTATAAGATCATTATTTTAATTCAAAATTATGAATTTACCTTTAATAATATCCTTACAACCTTTCCCAAAAAAAAATAAAAATAAAAATAAAAATAAAAATAAAATAAAATCCTTACAATCAGTCTTGAGTACGAATGTTTTCATATGCTAAAATTGAATTTTGCATCAACTATAACTAACAAGATTCCTGTAAGAAATAAACTCAGATTTCAATCCCAACAAATAAAAATAAATAAATAAAAAATAAATTTTTAGTGATCTTTTATTTTGATACATGTAACTAGGGGTGAGCAAAGAATTTAAGTGTCAGGGACTACACCATATAAATTTAAATAGGAGTCCGATTATAAAAGAGTAATACCTTATAAGGGGAGAATTGTATATTATATTATAATTGCAAATGTAACATAATTATTATTATTATATTCATGCAATTGAAGTAAGAGTTAATTTAGGTGAGCAAATTGGCATAACTTAGTTTTCACTAATTGCCACCTTTGAGTGAATCTTAAAAAGAATCAAATCTTAAGTAATTGGATTTTCTTTAATTTATTTTTTCTGTCTCTTTATTTTTTAGAGTATAATAATTTTGACTTTTTTTAATTTATTTTTTAAAAAAATAATTATGCAGAGGAGATAGTGCATTTTGCAGTTTAGAGTGCCGGCAACAGCAAATGACACAAGATGAGAGGAAAGAGAAATGCACTCCTAAAGAATCCAATTCTTCTTCATCTCACCCTACACCTGTCTCTTCTTCCAAACCCGAGAAAATCGCTGCGTTGTAAGGGATATTTACCACAAAACGACGAGTTTTGTATTTTTTTTTTTTCCTTCCTTTTTTTTCCCTCTCCCACTTACAAGAATATAAATATATAAAAAAAAAAAAAATGGAAGCTTTATGCTTGATATTATTATTATGGGAGGTGGGGCCAAAATTGGAATTTCGACTACGGTATCTGAATTGTGGTCGTGGCTAATCATCTTATATTTGTTATGCACGCTTGTAAAGATTTACCAGCTGTTGGCTAATCATCTCATATTTGTAATGCACGCTTGTAAAGATTTACCGGTTGTTACTATGTATGATGAAAGGTTTTGAATATAATGGTAGGTTTGGAATTCTATGTGTATATCATTTGCAACTTATGCTATGTAATTTGAGCATTGAAATAGCAATTCTTGCTTATTTTAACCATAAGTCCCATCTTCCCAATTCACTTCGATCAATTCACTAATAGTTGCAAAGTTCAAAAGGCAGAAATTTGATTGAATTGAAGGTTTCGTGATAGGTAAATAAAAAAATGAACTATAGTGGTTTCATGTAAGGTAAAACCATTGAATTGGTAATATAATGAAGAATAAATTAAAACTACTAATTCATTGAGATTTTTCAAGTAACCAGACTAACCACTTAACAATAAAATGTCAATTGATCAATTAGTGGTTTTGCCTTGAAAAGTGTTTATATTTTGTAAGGAAACCTAATATGGATGGTAAGCTAAGAAACCCTCTCTCTCCTTAAGATGTCTATTTGACTTTGTTAACACTACCTTGTAAAAAGTTTAACATAACTCCTATAAATAGTGCATGGAAATTTAAATCCCTAAAAATGTTCTTTTACATATTTGCTCTTATTTGATTTCAAAAGCCTTAAAATTGTCTCTTAAATCCCCTAAATTGATTAATTATTTGTAAATAAAAAGTTGTGTTTATTTTAATATTTAAAGCCATCTTTTACGTACTCTCTTCATTTCTTTTTTGTTTTTCTGATTTGGAATTTGGTCCCTATTTAATACAAAGTATTAAACAAATTCTAAATTAATTTTAATATCTATGTATTACAAGAATTATATAATTGTGTGATGTCTTGTTTAATTTATTCAATTTGTCTGAATAACTTCTTAAAATTTATTAGACATTTATATTTTTAGAACTCTATATGTTTACCATTCTCTCACTCTAGCTCTATTAAAGTTTCAAACACTGCAAACCTACACAACATCCAACTCATTTATCAGTTGTATGCAAATAGTAATATTAAAATATCATGCAAGTAGACATATGGCATAAAGGTTATCGATATTAATTCTTCTCAAAGGGCTAACCATACCGCACGAATCGCGTACGTTGGAATCCCTAGTAATAGGATACAAGTGGGGTATGATCATTGGGTGATAAAAAAATTGTAAGAAAAATAACAAGGTGTGAGAGGTGAGAAATTATTAGAAGTAGGAATAATATGGACAATGAGAGGGGCGGAGACATATAATAAGAAGTATACAAGAATTAAAATGTACGGAGTATTGATAGAGTATAAATCATATTCCTATGACACAACCATCAGCTTAAACTTTTGGTTGAATTGATTCTCTAACATGGTATCTAAAGCTAGTGTGACACAGAGGTCACGGGTTCGAATTTTATCCACCCCACCTTTTAAAGTGGAATATTAAGCGCAGTAGGTATTATATCATAAATAAAAGTGCAACACATCAAAAAATAAAAAATCCAATAAAGACAATGCAAGTGTAACAATTAAAACTTGGCTCAATAATACTAATATTAAAATTATACAATATATATCTGTTATAATGAAACAATTATTTTAACCGACAGTGTGCTTTTTTCATTATTTTTAGGGGATATGTATCCACTCTTATAAGACGTTTTTCTCTTCACCTAATTTTGAAGAACTGAAATTATTTTAAACCCTGATTAAAATTTAATTTACTTATTTTAATTACATTTGCTCTTTAAAGTTATTAAATTTTTAGTTGATTAAAATTTAATTTTACAGAATTAAAATTATTTTTATAAGTGATAAACTTATTTTTACTTTAAATGAATATTACTGTTTTAAGATAAAGAGAACGTGGCCTAAATGTGTTCATTTAAAATCATTGTATAACTAACCTAGTATACTCTAACTTTTTTTTTTTTGTTTTGAAACAAATCAATTCATTAATAAAAAGTCATACAACATCTACAAATGAAATCTAAATTAACAAATATATAAAATTGAATCAAATAAGGGTTTTCTTTATCGAAGTTACGATCGTTGAATTGATCTTGCACTATGGTACATCTCTCGCACATCGCTGGAATATACAGCCTTTTTGGAGAGACGGTTTAACGATTTGTTGTAGCCGTGAAGATGATTTTCATCTAATTCACTTGAACGTATCTGAAAATTCGACAGCCGTCACAATCACGAACAAATCTTTACCAACGAACTGATAATAGGGCAAAAGATGATTACCCTTTTGATAAACCCTAACACACAAAAGATCCCTAAATAAAAACAAACAACTAAACTAACAAAAACTAACGACTCCACCATAGGGAGACGAACGAACATCTACACCACTCGTGTAGATCTATTGAAACCTAAAATGCAAACCTAAAGAAAATTAAGGGAAAAGGGTCGAAAATAGTCTAATATCCGAAAAAATTAGACTATTTCCGGCCTAATTAAACGGCTAAAAATTAGTAAACCCTAAAAGAGAGGAATGGAGGATGAGAGAAGAGGAGAACTAGTATACTCTAACTAGATGTACTTGCTATGATGCAATCATCAACTGCACAAAAGTGTATGGTTAAACCTCTTTTCTGATGTAGACAAACTTTACACTAAATCTTTTAACGTTGATCATACTGATTAATGATCATCCACGTACAAATTCTTTATCTTTGTTCATCAATTTGCTCAACTTCTCGTCCACTCTCCGTGGAAAGGCATTAGACGCATGCAACTTCCATTATACACGATATTTTGTGCATCTCCAATGTATACAAAGGGACTTATTTACAAATTAATTAAAATTATAAGCATGTAGCTTACCATTGGAGTAGAAAATTGATGTAGCTAGATTAAGCAACATTGCTTAAACAAACTACTTTGCTTGATTTTTCAAAGATAACATCACCCATTTAAGATATGACATGTATACAATAAAAACTTTATTTATTTATTTATTTTTATTCCAAGCTACTTTATGTTACAATTAACCATTGGAGCACGTACTTTAATTTTGTAGCTACAAAATATGCTAGCTTGAATATTTGATGTGGCAAGGTAAGCTACAAAGTATTGTAGCTTACCACTGGAGATGCGGAGCATCTTTAATGGTAAGCTACAATGCCTTGTAGCTTGATTTGCCACGTTAATTTTTAAGCTATAATACTTTTAAGTTACAAAGTGTTCCAATAATAAGCTCAACATTATGTAATTTGCAAAAATTAAAATATTAAAAAAAATTAAATTGGTTCCACACGTGTCACACTATTAGTGGAGTTTGGTTGTCTTTTTTTCAATCAAGCATGTAGCTTGTTTGGGCTACAATAACTTGCATGTTGCTCATTTTTTTATTCTCCAATGGTAAGCATGTAGTTAGGTTTTTTATTTTAATTACAAGCAAGTTCTTACAATTGAACAATTGGTTAGGTCATTTTTGTAAAAATTAATTAATTGTCGACCGAATCTTAGACTAGATAATATAAGACAAAATCAAACATTGTTATTTGTATCAATACTATCAAATTAAGTTTCAAATTAGCAATATCTATTAATACTAATAAGGTCTTGGCTTAATTGTTGAAATTGAGCCGATTGAGATTTTATGTAAGATTATTTAAAGTTCATGTGATGTACTTGAAATTGTTTATTATTATAATAACCAAAATACAAAGTACTTCTTATTAAAATTGATCAGGTTGACACCATTAGTTTTAGATCTTGCTCCGTATTCTCTTTACCAAACTTCTAATAATAAACATTTCCATCCAAATAAAATTTACCAAACTTTTAATAATAAACAGTTCTAGTATGCACTTTACCTTCATTTTCATCCAAATAAAATTTACCAAACTTTTAATAATAAACATTTCTAGTACTTAACCCCATGAGGCCATGAGGCCATGAGCTAATAAACTATGCCTATTCATCTTTGGGGTCAAGCAATTTTATTTTAATATTAACAAAAAATAAAATAAATAAAAAATTATACAAATAAACTAAATTTAAAAATGGAAAAATTCATGGCAATAATCCGACCTTTAGCTCATTCTTTTTTAATAATCCGACTTTTCGATTATTATTTAATAATCCGACCTTTGGGGGTCTTTAATTTTTATTGGTCCCATTTGACCAGAAACCGGTAGAAGAGGTATTTTTTATTTTTTTAAGTTTAATTGACACGTGTCACAATTTGATTTGTCTAAATTTTTTTTTTAAAAAAAAACTTAAAAAAAATTAAAAAAATTTTTAAAAAAAAAAATCAAACTCCCTTCCCCACGCCAGCCACCCTACTGCTACCACGCCCAGCCTAACCTCCTGCTCTCGGCGCCGGCCGGCACCCAGACCCCTCCTCCTTTGGTCGCCGGCGCCGGTCATACCCCTTTCCCTAACCAATGTAACCCTCCACTTCATATAATTACCTCCCTTCTCACGCTCAACCCCAAATAGCCACCAATTACCAGCCACGACGCAACCTCAAATAGCCACCAATTACCAGCCACACAACCCCAAACAGCCACCAATTACCAACCACGCTCAACCCTAAGCGACCCCGCAACTCACAGCTCCAAGCCTCCATTCCTCCAGCCCTCCAACCACCACTAATTACCAGCCACGCACAAACCCGACCACCATAGCCATGCAACTCACAACTCCAACCAATTCAAGCATGAGGGAGGGAAGGTCGGCGTGGCCTGTTAAGGGACGGGGGACGGGGAGGGGGCTGGGATCGGGACGGGAAAGGGTTTTTCGAGGGTAAAGGGACGCCGCGTGAGGGAGGGAGGGGGTAGGTGGTTCAGGGGAGGGGATCGGTCGCGACGCCGATGTCGGCGCCGGTGCTGTGGTTGGGGGCTGGGCAGTGGGGGTGGCGGTTAGGCTGCGTTGGTGGGGGAGGGGAGGGGGCTGGTGGGTAAGGCAGTGGGTTTTTTTTTTTTTTTTTGGTTTTATTTTTTTGTTATTTTTTGAATTTTTTTTGACTAATCACAGGCTGCCATGTGTTATGTAACCTGTTATAACAGGTTACATGACCTGTTGGGACCAATAAAAATTAAAGACCCCCAAAGACCGGATTATTAAATAATAATTAAAAGGTCGTATTATTAAAAAAGAATGAGCTAAAGGTCGGATTATTGCCATAAATTTTTCCTTTAAAAATTGCTTA